GTTTTACAGTACGTGCTTACATCTCCTATTATCCGAAGGTGCTTTTAAAACATGTGTGGGAATTTAAATTTGAAATTCTTGGAAAAGGCTCATTTAAATTATTAATGCAAGTAATTTTCTGCTTTTTGGTTTTTTTTGTTTTGTTTTGTTTCTAGCAAACAATATCTCTATAATAACCCTTTGGCATGTGGACAGAACTTTTGTAAGTTATCTCAGTTGGTGATCATAACTGTATGCACTGCAATTCCAATATCTATTTGACAGATGGAAAAGTGAAGACCCCCTGAGAATATAAGAGGCGTATTCAAGGCGATGAGCAAAGTCCAACATCCCGAACTCCAAATCCCAACTTCAGATGTGTTTCCATTCTCCCGTTTAGGGAGATAAGGTTAGGAAAAGAAAATAAAAGGAGATGAAAAACAGTGGTTTTGAAGGTCTTAAAGATTAACACCATATTTCATTTTTTAAAAGCAAGAAGTCCACATTGTATCCTTTCTGTTTTAAAACCTTCAATGAGTTCTCTTTGCCTGTTGCCAAGTTCAAATTTAGAAGGTATTTATCTCATCTCCTACAGTTCCTCACATCAACCCAAAACTTCAACAAAATAAAACTGCTTGAAAATTTGCACATATAACATATTTTTATATCTCTGTGCCTCTGCCTACAGTTTCTTTTCCACACATCCTTATCTATTATAGATTTGGTATCTATTCTAGTTACCCCTATTATGCATTTAATTGATTTGTCAAATTTCTACACCGTTTTTATTTACATGCTAGGCATTGTTGGAAGTGCTTCATAATATTAACTGATAATCTCCATAATAATCCCAGAAGATAAGTAATAATATCCCAGTTTACAAATGACAAACTGATATATAAAAAAACGAGGAATAAAGCCAGGATTCCAGAAAGAGGATTCTGGTTTCAAACGGGGTACTCTTATCCGTTACACTATATCACATATGCACTTGGAATTTCAAAATCGAAAAACATCTCACATTCTGCCAATTTTGATGTCTCAGCGGCACACCATCAAAAACCTCTGGGTTGTAGAATTCATTACCTTGTAAATGTACCATCAACTGGAGCCTCGCTCGCATCTTTTTAGACCCAGAAACCTGATATTTTTCAGTGATCACACCAAGAACGGATCCTTGTCTGGGAGGTGGACTCAGTGACTTGACCCAGGAGATTAATGTCTGAAACTAAAATGCCAGATTATTAACCTACAACTAAAAATAGAACTGTCTCTCACATGGACCGGAATACTCATGTCAGCATGACCAGCACATTGCGCAGTCATGAAAAACCAGATCACTCTTGGCAAGATGCTTGGTCAACATGGCATCAGATCCAGGGTAATTCCTGGGAGGAACGGAACATTCATTGGCAGCAGCTTGGTTAGTGGGAGACATCCATGTTGTGATGGCAGCAGCCTTGCCAATGGGACATGCAGGTTTTCAAGTTTATGAGTCCTTTCTCTGGGACATTGCGAGGCTGGGCACCGACAACCATGTCTCTGGCATTCTCCTCTTTTCTGTGATTCTAATGCTTGGCCAGCTCTTTCTTTTCTTGGCCACATTTTCTTGTTCATTCATATCAACACAGTCAAGTGTTTAAGCCTAGGACTGTTCTGTCTCTTTAAGAGAGTCTTTGTGTAATTGTATTTTCAGATGACATTTACTTCTTGATAACATTCTCAGACCCAGCACATGCTATTTATCATTCCTTTCACTAAATTATAATTGAATGATTTTCTTAGTAGCAAAAACCAAGTCTTCTTTTTCCCCCAGAAGTAAGTGCATTGCCCACCACATAACAAGAGCTCATTGGACATTTGTCGGACAAACAAGTGAATTAGGAAGCAGTAAAGCATCATGGTTATGAATGTAAGCTCTGAAACCAGATGGCCTGATAGCAAATCTCAGCTCTATTACTTAATAGTTGTGCAATTTTGGAAAATTAGTTAACCTCCCTAAGTTCCAGTATTCTCATATGTAAAATGGGTAAAATGATAGTATCCTGACTCCCAGGGTACCTGAGATGATGAAATAAATTAGTATAATATAGCAAACTTAGAAATATTCCTCAAACTCCATAATTGTTAGTTATTAGTATAATCGTTCTCTCAGAATTTTATATTATACTAGAGACCTGGTCCTCAGATTTGTGCACTGGTGAGGGTGTGGCCTGTGGGGATGGCCTACTGCAGGAGCACTGCTCATCATCCTAGTCAGCCAAGTGGCTGTGGGCCCACCCTCTAAGCATTTGCTGAATGAGGAAATTAGTCTGAGCTGATTATTTTGGGGTAATGTCTTGAGTAAATGTGTGTTCTGTGTCCTGGAGGAATCTGGCAGAGAGCTAGCTTTGTACCCCAAAGCCACTGGGTGAATGTCCTTTATGTATGATGCTAGGTCGGTGACATTACCAGGGATGTTCCGGGCAGCCACGCTCCAGGATCCTCAGCTATCAGGACAGCCTCCCTGGGAGGTCCACAGTCACGTCCCCTTTTGCTATTCGTCTATGCCAACTCCCCACACTCTTTCTAGAACACACCTTAGAGGGCCTGCATCCGCTGGTGGGGTCAGGCCAGAGTCTGGATTGTCTCAGGTATTTGATAGGTGCAGAGATTCAGCCTCACCCTGGGCCGGCTAGCAGTTATCCATTTGCTGGGCTTTTATAGAGAGAGATTTTTACTTTTTTTTTTTAAGTGTGACTTTTTTAATGAATTTATTGGATTTTATAGGTTTCAGATGTACATTTCTATAATACATTATTTGTATATTTTATTGTGCATTCACCACTCCAGGTAGTCTTCTTCCATCACCATTTATCCACTCATTATCCTCTCCTCTCTCCCCCACCCCCTTTCCCTCTGAAAATCAACATACTGTTGTCTGTGTCTATGATTTTTTTTTCTTCTTAATCCCTTCTTTTTCACCAATCTACATTCCCACCAACAGTGCATGGCTATTCCCTTTTCCCCACACTCTGGCCACCACTTGTTTCTTGATTTATTGATGATAGCCATTCTGACAGATGTGAGATATTTCATTGTAGTTTTAATTTTTATCAGTCTAATGTTTAGTGACTGAGCATTTTTTCCTATGTCTATTGGCTATCTGTACGTCCTCTTTGGAGATGTGTCTATTCAGATCCTTTGCCCATTTTTAAATTGGATTGTTTGTTTTTTTGGTGTTGCCTTGTATGAGTTCTTTATAAATTTTGAATATTAACCACTTGTTAGATGTATCATTGGCAACTATGTTTTTTTAATTCAGTGGGTTGTATTTTCATTTTGTTGATGGTTTCCTTTGCTATGCAAGCATTTTTTTAGTTTGATGTAGTCCCATCTGTTTACTTTTTCTTGTGTTTCCTTTGCTTGATGAGATATATAAGAAAAAAAAATCCTGCTACAAGAAATGTCCAGGAATTTACTGCCTATGTTTTCTTCTAGGAATTTTATTGATTCAAGCCTAACATTTAAGTCATTGTGACTTATTTTGAAAAGGGCAGAGAACCGCTGCTCTTGTGTCATCACTGAATGCTTAATAAAAAATGGATTATTTTTGTTCACAAGAGTTCAGTAACATGAAAACTCCCATGTATTGCTAATGGGAGTATGTAATGGCACAAAGTTTATGGAATGTAATTTATCAAGAACTTATAAAAGTTCATTCCCTTTAGTCCAATAATTCTTCTAGAAATTTATCTACACTAAAGACATAGTCAGAAATTTAGGTAAAGCATATATGCATGGATATGGTTCATTACACTCTTATTTATAAAACCCCAAATTGGACATTACTTAAGTAATAGAAGAATGATTATACAAATTATATCATTTGATGGAATTTTATGTAGCTCTCAAAATGTTGTCAAATTGTGGAAAAATACCTTCAAAAATTTATTAAGTGGAAAAAACAAGCTGCAAAATAGTATAAGTGATGTGATTTATTTCCTCACTGGAAAGAAATTAATAAATCAAAATAATAGTGATTATCTTTAGATGAGGCAACCATGAGGGAATTTTTTTACTTTTAGGTAATCTTTCTTTTCTAAAATCTCTGCAATGACCATATATTTTAGAAATAAAAACAATTCTTTAACCATTATGACTTTTTATATCCATTTTATAATTTATAAGACACATTAAACAGTAAGTATAAATTTTATCATATTCACAATTTTAAGTTTTTTTTCTGTGAAATACCTCCAGTGTCATACCAGAAATAATTAAGATCGGATTCACTTAATATTAATACTTTACAGAAAACCTTGCATTTATATTTATTTGGTTAAATAAGAACTAAGTATAAGTACTTATTTTAACAACCAAATGCTTAGTTACAATTCTTAAATGTACAACTTCTTTAATTCTGCTCAATTTAGTATTTGAGTCTAACTCCACTAAGAATATACTCAAAAAAAGAGAGAGAGGCTTTTATATGAGTATTAAAAGAGAATTATTTTTATAAGGAAACTAGAGGACTGGTACATGAAAATTTGTGCACTTGGAGGGGTCCTTTAGCCTGCCTGCACCCTCTCACAATGCAGGACCCCTAGGGATGTCCACCTGCCAGCTTAGGCCCGCTTTCCAAGGGATCAGGTGTAAGCTGGCATCAGACATTTCTCTGGCAGCCCAGGAGCCCTCAGGGGATGTCTGACTGTTGGCTTAGGCCCACTCTCTCTGGGACATCCTTAATGATGCCGAGGAGGCGGAGAGGCTCCCGCCGCCACCTCTGCGCTTGTAGCCATCAGCCCAGCTTGTGGCTGAGCAGAGCTCCCCTTGTGGGATCACACTGACCACCAAGGGGCAGCTCTTGCATTGAGTGTAGGCCCCCCTGATGCTCAATGTATGTCATAGCAACCGGTTATTCCCAGTTCTTCTGCCATTAGGGTCAATTTGCATATTACCCTTTTATTATATAGGATAGTTCAAATATTGAGCCTTTCATAGGTAGTAATGAGGTGTTTGTTTTTCTTTTTGTCTCCTAGGAGCTGTGAGGGAAGAAATATTCGATACAGAACTTGCAGTAACGTGGTACGTATTGAGATTATGTGACTGTGATTATGTAATTATTAAGCACTGAATACTACTAAGCAGTATGTATCTTGGGCATAAATCAATCAATTATAACTTGACTGAAAGTGATTTGTCTCACACCACATGGATTATGCAGCATTGAAAAATAAGTATTTTTAATGTTCCTCAATATAAACTTTTACAAATGTGGCCATATTGAAACTTACTAGACTATTTCATATCTAGTAAGTTTTTATATCTAGGTCTTAAGATAACAAATAAAAGGAATGACAAAAGGGGAAATCACCTGCAGATCATGAAATAAGTATTAACCAACTCAGGTTTAATAAATTCATTTCATTCCTTCATTCAACAGATACTATTCTATGTCATCAATGTCAGGCATTATACTAGTACAAGGATAAATAACATGGTCACTTTCTTAAAACATCTCTTGATATAGTAAGAGATATAGAGAAGGAAGACAAATCAAAATATGACAAAGGTTGGGAAGAAGTCCTTTGTGGGTTGAAAACAGAGAGAAATATGAAGGGTCTTCAAGGAAAAGGTTATTTGAGGTAGGGCTAAGAGGGGTGTAGCTTGCCCAAATTGTGTGGAGGAGACATAATGGGGAATTTGGGAGGCAGGAAATTCTAAGATGGCTCCGAACAGTAATGTGTTTAGCAGTGTGGAAGAGAAGTACTGTAAGATATTTTGAGGTTACACCATGAACAGATTTTAATGTTAAATAGTTCAAGGAATAAATGGGGGGGTGGGGAGAGATTGTCACTAGAGGTTTTGGAGCAAGAGTACAAATTATAGTTTTACTTTAGAAAGTTTAACTGTGTAGTGATACAAGGAATGCATTGGAAGGTGAAATAGATGGAGAGTGAGAAGTAATGAAAGTTTAACCAGGAGAAATAGATACAAAAGAGATAAAAATTGAGGTAACTCTATAAGACTTATGCAATTAAAATCAGAGTGAGGCGTTGAAGTGGAAATAAAGAAAACAGGCATGTGCTCATTTAGAGCTCTTGCACTTGCTGATCCCACGGTTAGAGGATCTTTTTCTTCAGTATTTGCATGATGGTCATTCTTCATATTCTAGTCTCATCTCAAATGCCACCTCCTCAAAGAGGTTTCCTGGGCCATTTTATCTAATTTGGTTGTTCCACAGCCCAAACTCATCCCTCACAATAGTCTATCAATCGCATTTTACTTTTTAAATATACATTGTTACTAGAGGCCCAGTGCACAGAGTAGTGCACTGGTGGGGTCCCTCAGCCTGGCCTGCGGGGATCTAGTGGGCTCTCTGACATCCCCTGAGGGGTCCTGGATTCAGAGAGGGCAGTTCTCGGGTGACACTTTGCAGAGTCAGGCTTCCTCCTCTGGTTCCTTGGTGAGTCACCCAAGAAACACTGGTGCCAAATCACCACAGCTTGGCAACTCCTGCATTGAGTGTCTGCCCTCTGGTGATCAGTGGGCATCATAACTACCAGTCAGAGTGTCTGCCCCTAATGGTCATAGTTACCAGTCAAACAGTAAGACCATCCCGTAGGCTTTTAAATATATAAATTAATTTCATTGAGGAAGAGAGAAATAGAAACATCAATGATGAGAGAGAATCATTGATTGGCTGCCTCCTGAACGCCCCCTACTGGGGATCAAGCCCATAACCCAGCATATGCCCTTAATCAGAATTGAATCTGGCACCCTTCAGTCCAAGACTGATGCTCTATGCACTGAGTCAAACTGGCTAGGGCACATTTTACTTTTTTTAAAAAATAGCATTTGCCTCTACCATATTTATTTTATTTAATTGCTTGTTTGTTTTCTCTTTTCCCAGAATAGAAAGTAAATTTCACAAAGACAGGAGCCTCATTCACCCTGTGTGCTCCTGTATCCCCAATGCCTAGAACTTATGACTTACATATTATAACCATACAATAGATATTTGCCAAATGCAAAAGGATTTTTGGAAGAAGGGTAAATGTCATTATCAAAAGTAAGAAAGTTGGGAGGAGAATTGGGAAAAGACAATAATAAATTTGATTTAGGGACACCATTGAGTTGGACATGAAGGCTAGACTTGTACATGTATGTTCAATGAAGCAGTGGGGGTTTAATCTAAGGAAAGCATGGTCATTGGAAGTTAAGAGTAATTATTCAATGAAAAATTTTGCCTAATTCATTCCTCCATTTTCATTAAGAACAGAAGATGCCAGATATTGTGAGTTATAGCATTGCCTTTAAAACACACACACACACACACACACACACACACACACACACACTCATGTGCACATACAACTGCTATAGGTGTGTGTGTGTGTGTGTGTTTTAATTTTTTAAAAATGATTTAAAAATGATACTGACTAAATGAGTTTTAGAAATTTTATGATATTTTTTTCAGTGGAAATGTAGTTTAGATTATTGATTTTCTTTACTATCCCTTTTATTATAGTGATATCATATATATCAGTTAAAAACAAAACAAAAAAAATATGTACCACGATGTTATAAAAGAATCTTCTTACCTTACCCTTTTCTTTCTAACTTTTAGAATAGTGGAAAGGTCTATCCCAAGTAGATGAATGCCTAAAACAGCATGAGCAGATGTCTGCTTGCCCTTTTCTTAAAACTTTTCAGAAACAGCCCACAACTTCCTTGCTGTCATTATGAGCATTTTCACGGACAGATGCAGACTAAGACTCTGACCCAAAATGACTTAAAATCCAGAGCATTGTACGAGCCAGCTCTTTATGGCTTGTAGAGAATCAAACTGACACTGAGTTTTTTATGAGAACCTAGAGTATTCAAATAATTTGAAGCTTTTTTTTTTCCCCCTTCTGGCTTTTGGCCATGACAGAAGCAACATTGCCAAGAAAACAAATAAAAACATCTCATAAGAAAGGATCTTTTCATAATCACATTCCAATTTTTTTTTCAAACTAACAAGTTCAAAAATATTCAGTTAAGTCAGTTAAATATTCTCCTTTCAGATACTTGTTTTGGAAAAACTTGAGGGTCTCTTGTTAGCTAACTCTGCAGGGTCACTCCTTAAACTCTGGACAGCTTCCTGAGGCTCTTTTCCCAAAGGCGCACACTTTTTCTATTCTTTGTAGAGCTGCTAATATAACATTTCTTTGGGTTTTTGTTCCCCAAGGCCAAGGAAGAGAAAATGTCTCCTCAATTTCCCAAATTTTCTGGCTTGCCTGAAAAAATTAGTGCATCAACATCAGTAGGAAAGTTTAAGTTCCCATAATGTTTGCATAGTTCTCATAGCCAGGATACCTTCTTACACTATTTCTAGTGGGTCCCAGTAAACTCTTTTCATGCTTAAGGACATAGTTCATCTAACCTTTCTGTATTCACACTTCCTGCTTTTCTTCCAGGGAAGTTGTAAGGCTCTCTTTCTGGAAGGAAAGACTAAGGATACTGTTAGGAGTCACAGTAGGTATGGACTGGCAAGCCAATCAAGTGAATCATTTAGGGCTCAGAGATCTTCCCTGCGGCACTTCAGAAAAGTCTCCTTGGGTCACATCATCATGTTTATTCAAATTAAACCTCTAACCTGAACCCCTTGATCTTAATTAGGCATTTTAAAGTGTTTAGACCAGTGGTCGGCAAACTTCGGCTCGCGAGCCACATGCAGCTCACGAGCCGTGGTTTGCTGCTCTATTGACTAATGAGTTTGCCGACCACTGACCTAGACTCTCAATTCCAATAATTAGAAGCTGTTGTTGTTCCTTGTGAGTAAGCCCCTATCCCAGTGGTTGGCAAACTCATTAGTCAACAGAGAGCCAAACTCGCAAGCCGCAGTTTGCTGACCACTGGTTTAGACTAATGCTGTTATTCATAAACTGTTGTATTTGTGGGTGTTTGGGGGGGGTTGTTTTTTTAATTTAATTAATTAATTTATTTATTTATTTAGGTCGCTATCCTTAATCTTAACAACATTTGAGATTGAGGAGATAGTGACCACAATTAGCAACACAATAGGCCAAGGTGCCTGTGGTAGCTAATGGTGCTCTTAAATCCTTTATTAAGATATTATTGCTCCACTGCCAAATGTTACTGTTCTAAAGAAGAACGACAACTGTAAGATTAAAGTTGTGAAGCTGTTTTTCTGTATCTCTTCTAGAACTCCTAGGGAGGTGAGTGGGCAAGGGATTTCTGTTTTCCAAGGAACGATTGAAACAACTGAAAATGCTTTTAGCATATGAAGGCAAAACAACCTCCATTAATTCAAAAAATAATTGAGCGCAAGAATTGTTCTCTATCCTGGGATATACTCTGGTGAAGAAGACCAAGCTCTGAAGCTTTTATTCTAATGAAGGAAACCAGATTATAAACAAACATGAAGCTTTTGTTCTAATGGAGAAAATCAGATTATAAATAAACATGCAAACAAATTATATAAGTAGTCACCAATCACCAATTCTCTGCAGAGCACTGATCAGATGGTGCCTTCCTTGGTCAGAATTTGAAGTGGGAGGGGGGACCACCCAAAAACTTAAAATCTGCTGGAACAACCTTCAGACTACTTTGGAATAAATGGTCTGGGAAGTCCACTAGCAGAGTGACATTTGAGAGTGACAGAAAGGAACCAGCTCTGTGAAGATCAGAGAAAGAGCCATCCAGATCGAAGGGACAGCTAGTGCACAGGCTCTCAACTGTGAAGGAAGTTGGTGTGTGAAAGCTCAGTGTGTCTAATGGATAGTATGCATGGGGAAAAGTATTAGAAGAAGACACACAGCTGCAGGCAGACTGGAGTGGATCATGCAGATGTTGTAGAGTATTACAGTTTCAGGGCAAAGGGAAACTACTGGAGGGCTTTCAGGAGGGGAGATGAGAGTTGGACTTGTGAGGATGAGCAAAGATGGGTTTGGCTGCAGAGTTACTCTGGAGATGGGTGGCAAAGAACGGAGTGGAAGTAGGAGGCCATTGCAGTAGTTCAGGTGAGTGCTAATGGTTCCTGGACTAGAGTGGCACTGGTGGGAAGATTTGAGGTACAT